ACGTTTGACCTATCGCTTTCATCTTCCGCCATATTTCTGCCGGGAGGGATCGGCTGTAGCTTATAGATGAATTATAGTTGCTCTTTGCTGTCGCGCATTCAGCGGTGATGTATGACTCGGCGGGAGACGGTAGGTAGAAAACATCCACGATGTACGGCCTGTTAATAACAGCAAGAATGAACGAACGACTGCGCAGCGCGGTACACAGATGCCGCTGGCGGCTAGACCCCCTTTGTGTTTTATTACAAACGATACGTCAACCACGATGTATGGGCTGCTTTTATCTGCGGCCTGTTATTGATGTGCTAAATTGTCCGCGCTGACTCGTAAGACTGGCCAGAACACGCCTGATAGACGTCGCTCAGGGACGCACTAATCGCGCGCCAGCCACACACCGGCCTTCCTTCTCTCCTCGCTTACAAAGAAATCTCACGCAGGTATATACGGCAACGCGCGCACGTCGGGCGCTTTAAAGCGAGGCGGCGAATAAATATCATATCGGTGATGAAACCTTACTCGGAATCTTTCTTGTAAAGAGAGAAAGAGTAGGAACATATACAGTCGTAAATATCTCTCGACTGCCGAAAACAAGCAACGCGTGAGCGATTTCTCGAAATAATCAAACGTACTCTGTGTGTGTGTGTATGTGTGTGTGTTTGCCCGAACAACAGTTTTCACGTCGGCGCGCGTGATATAAAACATATTATTGTGGCGTTACGCGGTCGGATCGCGATAATAAAGAGAGGCGGGTATTGCCTCCGCTTTCATAGACACGAAGCATTTTTCAGTGGAAACAAGAAATGACTTAATTGGAAATTCCGGTGTGCCCAGAACACACATGCACACACCCGCACACAGCAAAGAAAAAAAGAGCAACCGGAAATAACGGAAATCGTGAATAATGTATAGCGAATCGTCTGCTGCTTTTATTTACGGCTTGCTATCGACAGAGTCTGGATACGCGATGTTGCTGAGATATTTTGAATGTAAAACCAACGTCAATGAGTCCCGACATAACCCGAAATCCGAAAACGATCTGTTGAACAAGCGCGATATAAGATTCAGAAGCGTCCGATCTCTCTCGGACTTCAATTCAAAAAAAAAAAAAAATCGTATTATCTGTTGATCTTCATTTCAATGTGGCATTTATATTATTCGGTGCCATTCAAAAAAAATCTACGTCCATCATTCTCTCATTCGGAGTGACAGTTTAAATAAATACGTCTCACAAAAAAGTCACGAGAGATGCTCGGTGATACGCGACAAAATCTATGAATAGACGTTAATGATGACTAACGTTTTATATCAACAAAAACACGATTCATAAATCAAAACGAGTGGCCGCCGCTCTAAATCAGAAAAAAAAAAAAAAAAAAGGAGTGATTTCCGTGCAAACAGCCGATCTCAGATCGTTCAAATAGACAAGACAAAGAAAAGTATTTGTCTTTGGAATATTATGTTATCGATGAGAGTATTTGTGTTTCTTCTCGGAAAGATAAAATAGAATATCGGAGAGACAAAAACGCACACACACACACAAAAAACAAATACGCGAGTAGACGCGCGTGTGAAGTGAAGAAAATCTATTTTTATAACACAAGTAAATCTAAAGAGCGCGCGCTCGATAAGATTAAGTTGTTATATATCGATATCCGCCATTGAGCTCGAAATCCACGTCGCCCGGGTTTGTGAATGCCCTAATTTCCCATCTTGACTCGATAGGGTCCTCTTCGAAGGAGACAGCTTGAGATCTCGCCACGGCGAGACGTACAACTCCACCGTTCTGATCGTGACACATGTCCGTCGCAGAAAAGACACGCCGCGCACGCTGCCAAACGCGCCCGGCCCGTTGATTTTCCACAAAATGTCTGAACGGTTGATTGACATGTTTGTTCGTAATGTAATCTCGCGGGTTCGCGTTAAATCACGTTAACGTCAACGCGCTGCGTTTGGCTTTGAAGGTTTTAATTAATATAGGGGCGCGAAACGCGACCCGCGCACGGGTTTCAGTTATTCCAAATATAAAATGTAGTTTTCTCTTTTTTTTTTCGTTCTTTTTCTCCTCGCCTATCCTTCAAGTGTCGAGCGCGCGAGACACGTGTCTTAAATAAAACGTCACGAAGCGCGTTTGGTTTTTTTTTGTTTTTTTTTTGTTTTGTTTTTGCATAAAAAGTTGTAAGTGATGTTTACTTAATTGATCGCAGAAAACGCGCGTTCGCGGAAAAATAAATCGACGTGAATGACGAATGTTGGAAATGTAATGACATGTTGTGATTAAAGATGTGAAATATATATGCACGCGCGTCAAAAGAGAATCGAGTTTCATTAAAAAAAAAAAAAAAAAAAAACAGCGCGACATACATACACGTATATTTTCCTTTAATTTTGTCGGCGCAAACTTTATCTTTGGAATTGATACACTCCTATTGTTTTACAGGTAATTAATTATGAGACACGACGAGAGAACGTATTCTAATACAGCTCCGTTAATTACAGACGATACGTCACTCGCTTGTGTCTTTAATCGCGCTTGTTATTTCAACTTTCGCGACAGCAAAATATTTTGCAATGCAACATACATGATATTTGTTTTAACTGACGAGATAACACCCGGTCAGACTTTGTCGGACAGTGATGTGAAAATACGACAGACGATGTCCTTGTGAAAGAAAAAAAAACAATACGTAGACTACTGAGTTCGTGACGATTCAGTTTCAACGTATCGATGTTGATGTTTAAGAATTAAATGTTTTTTTTTTCTTTTCAAAAAAACGCAGCGATTTGCAAAACTTGTTTATCTCGATAGCAAATTAAAACAGTAAAAAACAGTTTATTGCATTTTCGTCAACATATCAAAACGTTTATCGTCTCCTCTTTTTGTTTTCATAAGATATAATATAATTTTTAACGTGTTGCACGATCGCTCGCACATGCGCGGCGCGTTGAAAAAAGAACCGCGCGGTAAACACATAAAAAAACATGCGAACTTCTGAAGCAACGTGGTGTAAAATCGGAAGTTTTTTTGACGCGCGAAATAAATCAAACCACGTTTTACCGATCGTTAATTAATTATGAATTTTTAGGTCGCGTTTTACGGCGGCGCACTCAATCATGCGTTTTCAGAAATCGTAACGAGATACACAACGAGAGATGTGCAAAATTACAAAAATACAAATCCGAAGAAGTAGCGCTGGTAAAAAAAGAGTTTTTTTTGCGACGGTTTACCTGAAACGAATCTGCATCATTTAAACTTTAGTTGCAACGACATATAATTACTCAACCGTATCAACAAGTACCTGACGTTTACACAAAGTGAGGTAAATGAAGGAGCACACTCGCGTTTTCCTCATTACCTGACGTTACCTACCTACCGTAAAGCGCGACCGTCGAGACGCGCGACCTCCGTAAGTACGTAAGGACCTCGGGTTACTATCTGACAAGTTACTAATTGAGATTCAGCGACACGCATAATCGCCCCGAAATAACACGGATTCCGATCGACGGAGGGCGGCGTGAAAGGCGAAATACGGGCGGGACCATTCATCCCGACGGTTAAAATCACCGAATATTTCACTTTGCTGAGCCAGCTGAGCCTGCCACCGCCTGTCGTGGCACCCGTGCGATGGAAACGACGGAGGGATGAAGCAGACCTTCTCCACGACTCGTTCGTTCTTTCTCTCTCTCTCTCTCTTTTTCTCCACTTGTACGAGTGCGAGAGAGAAGAAAGACCCCGTCGGCTCACCGAAGAACCCACGGGTTCACCCACACCCTCTCTCCGTCTCGCTCTATCTTTCTCCGCTGTTTCCGCTCCTTCCTCCGACACTAGGCTGCAGATTTATGCGCCCCGCCTTGCAGCGCTGATATCCGAGAGCTCACGACCCGCTCCGTCCGTAATGAAAGAAATAAATTTACTCTTCTGGGGGCGCCCCAGGGATAGAGAGACTCGCCGCCGTTCGTGTGCGCACACGGACGTGCCGCTCCGCATCCTGACGACGTTGGTAACCGGAGGATCGCCAATTTAAGGATTTTGCCACTAGATCTGACTTTGACTAGACGCTTCGCTGATAGCGCGGTTCACGGGTTTGTAACGAGTAAAAAATATATGAGGGTTGCAGTTACGTCTGTGTGTGTTTGTTTAAATAAGAGAGAAAAACAAAGTATAACAAGAAACGATCGCAATCGAAAAAAACGATGTTTGTACAAGGGAAGGAAATTAACGCGTTTCGAAAACAAAAGAACTTCCAAAAGATGAAACACGGCGATAATAATCGATAATCAGTGATTTGATGCTTACTGAGCTTCGATCGGCAGCGGTTGATAACGATTCGTACTCGAAATATCGGAGTTACTTAAAAAATTTCGCGCAATATAAAGAAGAAAAACATGCGGGAGTAACAAATACAAAATAATCAGAATCGTAAAAACTTATCTAACGAGGTAACGCAAGATTTGATTTATTTTTACAGTCGATAACTCGAAAATACCGTGACTGTGCGCGTGATTCGTCGTAAATAATTATCTTTCTCTATCTCTCTCTACAACACGCGAGGTTCCGATAATAACAGATTTAAACACGTAAGAAATACGCCTCATTGCGGATGACAGATTGTGAAGTGCGTTTGATAAATTATCCGTCACGTATGATTGACGAGCACACGTCGTAATGGGTCAGCGAAATCAGGCACACAGATTTTTCCGACACGTGTAAATGAAAAGAGCGCGATATGTGAGCGCAAATCAGAATTAAATGTCAAACACCATTTCGTGCGCTCTGTCAACACGGACGGTGATACACGTATCTCGAGCGTAAAAAAAAAAAAAAAAAAAACACGTACAGAAAAAAAACCTCGGATCCGCGTGCGAAGTTGCGCAAAAAAAAAAATAAAAAATAAAAAATAAAAAAAAATAAAAGAACAAATAATCGAACGGACGTCGGGAAGAAAGATTTGGGATGCGACGAAACGAATGGCGAAATGATGAGACCACACAAGGATTAGATGTGGATTCTATAAACATTTGTTTTTATTAAAGCGGTATGGAAACTCAACGATATTTACAAGAGATATTTACAATGCAGATAATGCGTATCGCGTACATCTTGTGCTTTCTATTAAGATTTTTCTATCCGACAATGTGGTGACAACGTGACGATGGACAATGTGATCCGATACGCTTTCAGGTAATATTATCCTGAATCGAATATTTGAAAAATGTTTCACGACGTATTTATCGAATTTAAAGAAAAAGAAGAAATATTAAAAACACATTCTCTTAATGGGATTTTAAATTTTCGTTACGATTAAAAACCGTTTATTCGCGTATTTGCTCTGCACAACTTGAATAAATTACAATCTCTTATATAGTTTACCTCTCCCGACGACACATCATTCGTGTATACATCTCTAAAGTTTTATTAATATTTCCTTTTCTCATCGATCGTTTTTCGCGAAAAAATAGCGTAATATCACAGTTACATCATGGACATATAGAACACGCGCGGCCGTGTCTTCACTAGCACTTTGCCGCGCTATTTTATATCGAACGCATTTTATACAGCACGAAAGGCTCTCGCGCGTTGCGGAGCGTCGAAAAACATAACAGTTTGTAATACGCGCTTTACAATCTTTTATTTATATATCACCGAAATAACCGATTAATGTCGCCTGTAGCGCGAGGGGATGATGATACATAGCGAGGACTACCTTGTTGCGCGCAAAGCGCGTCGGAAAAGCTCAAACGGCGTCAATGGCACGCGTTTGAAAGCGCGAGACGGAAATTCCTGCCTGGTTTTTTGTTTGTTTGTTTGTTTGTTTTGCGTGTGACTCCGGCGGTTGTGACAATATTAACTTACGGCTGGCGTGTGTAGTCCCTCACTACAACCGGATTTTTTTTTTCTTTTTTGAAACGGAGAGATGCGTATTACTCGTGTCATATCAGAAGTTCTCGCAAGAGAATGGAGACTCGCGATGCAACATTACACTGTGTCGAGTTGATTCATAAACTTTAATTCATAATCTTCAAAATTTACACATATATATATTCATATGTATATATACATATATATATAGAATCCTTTTTAAATAAATTCTGTATATATTGTACACAGCGGTGGCTATTTACACAACAGTCTCTTTAGACGGTCAAAATTCGTTCGCGTATGTTTTGCACATTCTTCACCTGCACACTGAGAAAAGGGAGAAGGGTAAAAGAGACAGAGAAGTATATAAGAAAAAAAAAAAAAAAAAAAAAAAAAAGAAGAGTTCCTTCAAAAACTTCCGTCGCCGCATTATCTTCGATGATGTCCATCTTAGGGATGCACGGCGGCGCCGATTCGCTGTCCGTAAACCGCGTACGGTGAGTAGTACGGTCCGAGCGCGTTGAAGGCGCTGTACGGTGAGGCCGCTAGCGAGGCCGGGAGCGGGCCCGTCGGCGGTTTACCGTACGGATGATATCGAGCGCTGAGAGGACTGAGCGACGGCGCCGGATAAGAACCACTGCCGGCCCGATGGAGTGTCGTAGATGGTGACAAGAGCGGATGTGGATGCGGATTGCCGAGGAGCGCCGCCGCAGAAGCCGCATGATCGCCACCGGTCAGGCTGGTGTGGCTGCGTAGATGCTGCAGCAGTTCCTCTGACGTGGCAAACCGCTTGCCGCAATACGATTCGCCGGCGATCCAGCTGCAGACGTATGGCCGGCCGCCGGCCGCCAGCGTGGACGGATAAGATAGCGACGGCGGCGGCATCGGACCCAAAGACGAAAGCGCCATAGCCAGTCCGTACTTCTGATGATCACACTGAGTGCAACCGCTCGGACAACTGCCGGCGCCCATCATTATCTGGGCGCTGTGCATGTTGTATTGGCAACCGGTGCAATACGGATCCTTGCAGACGGGCACAAGGGCCTCACCGCCGGCCGGAGTCTTGACGCGGGCGTAACTCAAGTACGGATTGCCACCGGTCGGACTGGCCGACGGATAACCGAGAAGCGCTGCCGCGGCGGCGTGATGATGCGAGAATGGCGACGCTCCTGCAAAAGGCGGCCTGAATGCCGGATTCTCGGCCAGGCCCGGTGGACAACACAGCGGATTACCGGAGAATCCTGGAAGACCTGGTTTGTAAGCCAGGTTCGCGTCTTTTGTGTGCGCGCCCGAAAGGATCTCCATTCCGGATCTAATGATCGGACTGGTGCCATTGTTGTTATTGCTGCTACTGCTGCTGCTGCTGCTGCTGCTACTGCTACTACTACTAGAATTCTTTGGCGATCCGTCGGTTTTCTCGCGATCAGCTGGTGTCTTCCGGTCGCCCGACGGCGTGCTTGTGCATGTTGCCGTCGCTTGGCCGCTCGGTGACGCCGACTTGCGACTCACAGGCGTGCGATTGCCGGACGATTTTTTGTCGGAGTGCGCGTTTTCACTAGCACTAACACTATCCTGACCACTGACACTGTGCACACTAGCTTTAGACGCGGGTCTACCCTCATCCGAGGTCTTCTTTGTCACAACATTGGTCTCGTACGGTTTAAACGCCAGCGGTCTGCTGTCCGTCGGACTGCCGCGCGTGCTGCGCTCAAGTTTCGCAGCCGGCGGCGATTTGGCGTTTGTGGCGAGGTTCATGCTCTTTGAACTTTTGTCCAGAGGCGAGATCAAAGGTTTCGTGGGCGAATCAGCCCCGATTTGACTGCATGTTTGCGCCAGCAACGCCAACGGACTCTTCTTCGCATCCAACTGCAACGCGAAAAGAAAACGACGTTATAAAAAAAAAACTTTGTGTGAAGAAAGTTAGTAGTAATAGTTTTCTATTGCAAATATATGTAGAAAATTAAGTGAATTGAGTAAAAGGCAAAAGAGTATATCGACTAGCGCGACAGACTTTGCGCGCTCCGGTTCCGACGGATCACGTCGATGGATGTTTCTTCGAAATTTACGAAAAAAGAAAAAATATTACAACTATTATTCGTTAATGTGTAGTGTTTTACACGCATTTTTCTCAAATTTCAATGTAAAATTTGGTGCTTGTTATTTTTGGACAATATCAATATTGAAAAAAAAAAAATAATACACTCATGTGAAGTAAAGTGAATCTAAAAAATAACATATAATACTAACCGTAGTTGGGAGCGGAGAAAGATAATCCGGTTGTAAATACTGATTGTGTCCAGTAGTAGTCAGCATACTGCCTTCTTCGAGCACAACCATTTGGGTTTTCCACTAGTAAATTTCACTGTGCACTTGAACCAACAAGAGATATTTGCACCAACAAAAAAATCGCGAAACTGAGTCGTACTTGACCAGCAGGACCACCGAGAGATCCGCGGTCGCAGTAGGTCTCGAGGTTGCGTCTCCGTCGGGAATCGATCACCGTCTCGCGCGACACGTAACGACACGTAACCGGGGAACGACGTGTATCCCACGAAATCCAAGAAAGCAGTGAAGCAGCGGCTCGCACAAGAGTCGCTCTGCGCTGCAACTGAAACGCCTTTCGCGCCGTCTGGCGGCGCAACACAAAGACCGATTGCTCTCTCCTCACCCTCCGTTCTCTACAACCCGGGGTGTATAACCTGTCCTCTCCTATCATCCCTACCACCTTGCTCGACGCAAGGAAAGTAGGGAAGGGAAGAGATGGCATTATGGTGGGAGAATTGCGGTGGGGTTCGGTGCTGCGTGGAGTGTGGGAAGGCATTCTAATTCAACACGCCACCCATGATGTTGGCCCGACGATGACAGCTCCCATCCCGGCTTTGATATTTCACCGCTTTTACAGCCGTCCATCCTCCCTCCCCGCGCTCGTCCGACCGACAAGAGCTTCCCCTCTCCTCTCCCACCCTAGGCCTTTTCTCCGTCACTCTCCGTTCCTCTCGTTCTCTTTCTCTTTCTCTCTCTCTCTCTCGCTCATGACTCTCGGTCGTCTCCCCTGCCTGTCCTTCTTCCCCAGCTGAGCTACCATAGCTGCCACGACACGAAACCGTCGTTCCTGCCACCACGGCAACCCGATATTTTATACCGTGAAACCTGTCTGTCTCTCCAGCCGGCCCCGCTTAATAAGCAGCTTTCAAAATAGAAATGTAATGGGCCGGCGGGGAGGGGTGGAGGAGCGCGGGTCGAGTGATTGATTGCTCGCTCAGCGACTTACCGACTTGCCGCGGCCCCACGGGGTAACGAATGACAGCCACTTAAGCGCTGTTTGCCTACAGTTTTGTAAAAGCGTTTTAATTATCGCGCCCCGACCACGGTGCGCACTGAGTCATCCGGTACTTAACGCCTCGCGGCTACCGATCTCCTCCGTCGTGTTTGCGTGCCACTCTCTATATATTCGCGTCGCGAATACCGAGCGCACCTCCGATCAGTCAATGCCTCGGATCAGTCGATGTCGAAATGCTAAGTGTGTACTGATCTTTGCCCCAGCCCGAGTGTGATACTCGTGGTAGATATCAGCTGATGTTATCGGACATGTGTCAAAAAAAAAAAAAATACATTTGACTCGACGACAAATTTTGTTCATCAAAGCAAATAGAATTCTATTTCTCAGTTTAACACGAGCGAGTCCTGATATATATATATATATATATATTTGTCGAATGCATGTGGGTTACGAGATAACGATATAGCTTATCGCTTCATTCATTCGGTGATCGCGTCATCAACTCATCAACGTGAACGACTCTTTGCGATATTCATTTCGACGAGCCGTGTATCGTAATGTATTTGCGCGCGCGCGCGCGAAACGAGAGGACGCGTATATTTATGCGGAGTGAAAACGCACAAAATACATATTTGGCGAAATCCGACGGCTCGCTCACGCGCGTATAACGCGGTTTACGCGCTCGCCGGGCACGCATCGCGCCGCGCATCCGCCTGACGGCCAATACGAGCCATTAAAGAGGCCCCGGCTATCAGATCTCGTTGGAACTCAAACGCTCCGCGGTTAGGCGATTATGGCCATTCCGCTAAGTACGGCTTGAAGCAAGATAAAGCGATCGATGAAGTAACTATATTACAAGGTAATTACGACGAATTATGACGATATCCACACGCCCCGCTACGTAGACCGCATACTCGCGGTAAACAATAATTACCCCGGGGAGCACTTCGCGCAGGAATGCAACCGAACAGTATCTGAGAAATGCATATAGGTATGTCGACTGTAATTTACACCGGAATTCATTATAACGTTCTCGGTATCATTATACCTATTATAACATAAGCTATGAATAGAAATCCGCGGACAGCGTGGCGTTGACGTTACTTTTGTTCTCTTTGAGAGAAATAATTTTCGCTGCAATTGTGTGTACGATGTGTGATATTAGCGGCGTCACGTCGCTGGAAAATGTCAGCTTTTATCTTCCCAAAACTTTTCGTACGAATACACATATTGTATATATAAAATCAAAAATAATAATATAAATAATATAATCAAATAATAATGTAAATAATGAATATAAAAAAACTTATATCAATTCATTAACACTTGAAAAACAATGAGCTGTGAAGATCTCATGTTTTTTGTTTCACGTAGAAACAATTTTCTACTTTTTTTATAATCCAAAAATTAATTAATTGCGAAATTTCATATTACCGTCACACTCAATGTCAATATCGTATCCTTTTACTTGAATTTACCAGGAGAAACAAAAGTAGCCGGCAGTTCAGCTTCCGCGTAAATTGTCTGATGATGTTACGGTGCCGCTAATATCCCGAAGGCGACTCTTTGACGTTTTGACATTGACGGATGAGTTTACGGCTAATATAGTTCTCTTTCATCTCAGGCCGCTTCCTCGCGACTTGCTTCGAAGATTTGCAGTTGACGACTTTCTCTTTGTTTCTGAAACGATAAAAATAATTTTTGAAAGAGAAAAAAAGAAACTCTAACAACTTAGATACACTTTTTTTTTGACATCGAAGCGAAGAATAAGAATAAATAAGATCTGAACAAGCTACAAATAAAAAAAAACAAAACTCGCTTTTTTTCCGCAAACGGTAGTTATAAATGGATGTTTGAGAATAAAGGAGAAAAAATGAATAGAGTTGAAAAAAAAAAACTGAGGACCGCAATAAAGTATCGCAAGAAAAGGTGCAGAGCGTCTAGGTATTCTTTTATTACAAATAGTTTTGCTCTACACTGATGTTAATGACGCACCAAAAAAGATGTTAAAACGATACGATCAAAATACCGTGTCAACAGTAATATGTCAACGGTAATATGTATGCTTGAGAAATGAATGTAAGTGCTGACATAAAGTTTTTCAAACAAACGTTCCTTCAATATAATAAAGTGCGTAAAATAAATATGGTAATAGAAATATCTCTTTAGTTTTTATTTCTATTAATTTTATTGTATCATCAGCTGGTTTATCCTATTTTGTATTTTTCATTGTCAGTTGCGCACTGAAGAAGACCCCAACGACGGGTTGAAACGTTTGCAACAATTAAATAATTTCAAGAACATACACCAAAATCCTGTATATTGGCTCTTATTCGCCTTTTGACTAACCTAGAAATATCTCGTTCTGTCGAATTTATTCTTTTATTTGAATCAAAGAAAATATTATTCCTTGTTTCCTGCCAATACAAATAAATTGAAAAGGTTCTCTGAATTGAATAAACAAGTTCGTTAAATTTGCATCAATTAACAATAAACCTATTTAAATTAAAATAAATTTAACATTTATTTGTTTTTTTCTAAGAAAACCATCGATAAGAATTTGCGTGCGAACATATTTCAATTAATTTTGCGACGACTTGAGAGGTAAAGTGAAAGATTGTGCGTGTTGACCACGTAATTATTTTTTAAAAATAAAGCTGAGAGCATCACACGACTTTGCTGAATTATTAACGCGCGCAGAACGTTACGTATGTACACACGTGTAGCTCGTGCTCGTTATTTTCATCTGCAAGTCGGACGAAAAAGCGCGCTCCGTCGTGTTTCTTTCGCGACACGGTCGTTTCACACAACTACCTGAGAGTACAAATACGAGGCTCGTTATATTCGCCGATCCGTTTTCCGCTTGATTCGGCGCACTGAAAATACCGAGGTGCGCGGTGTTTCTAAATCGCGGTACACGCACCGGCCGTAAAAGTGACTACAGAAGCGACGACAACCGCGACAATGATCCGCACGTCGAAAGTCCTTCAAGACCGTATTGTGACCGTACGAATTCGCTGTGGCGGGGAACAATAGACGCCGGGAGAGCTTCGGGATAAAAGTGTAAAAATGCTGACAAGCGGATAATAAAGGAGGCAGTCAGTCACTTTGAGAGATGGCGCGGAACAAAGAGGGCGAGCGAAGGGCGAGACGATCCGACGAGTGCAGAAGCGAGAGAGCTTGGGAGCGGAGCGGAGAGAGGGAGGTTGCTCGGTGAGCCGTGAAAGGGAAAAAGATGGATGAACGCGAACGCAGTTGGCGTGCACAGAGGAGAAACAGAATTTGCGGGGGATAATAAATCATAGCGGTCTTTCTTCCGTCGTCCCTCTCTTCTCTCCGTCCCTCTTCACGCTCCTAACTTCTTATACATCCCAAGCACCGCGCGCTTCGCGCTTATGGAATGACAAGGGGGTTGCGCGGGGGTTATATACGTATCGTCGAGGACGGATACAACCTATTTTGTATCAAGTTTCGCGTGAAAAGTGAACCAACGCGCGTTGTCGGAGCAACGCGCCGGGGGCTTTATACTCGAATCTGCGTGGTTTTTTCTCGATGAAGATTTATCGTCCCTCTCCGCGCGTTGAAACACGCGTTGGCGCGTGTTTCGCGCGCAGTCATTTGCGTCACATTATTGCGTCACGTGTCAAATGCTAACGTGTGTGTCGGGCACAGAAGGTATAATATACCTTGTTATACCTTCTCGCGATTACATTCGATTCCGCGAATCCTTTGTTGGAAGATATATATCCTGTAATATCACAAATCCGGGGATCTTCTCACGAGATACCTGAAATCGAGCGGATCCGTCACGAACGTCACGAAAAAAGGAGCGCGCAATAGTAGTGCGTGTCACGCATCTACGACGTGGCACGGGACTCATAATTATTTCTGACAACCCGTTTCGCTGCGTCGATGATCAAAGAGGTCACGTTACTCGACTTCCGACAGGCCGCGCAAGTTCGATGGATCGAACGGGAAAGAGGAAGTGGCGGATGGTAAAAAAAAACAAAAAAAAAAAAAAAAGGAAAAAAGACAGAGAAAAAGAGAAAAGTTGCACGCTCGGCAATAATAATAACAGGGGACGCGGAGACGCGAGCAGAAATACGGAGCTGCCGGCGCAGCACACCGGGCAAACTCGGCAAGGGCCTCGTTGCCTCATGTTTAAATCAGCGATAACGAGAAGCTTCGGTGACATATGTCACTGTCGCTGTCAGCCGGCTACACAATCAATATAGTTACCCGCCCGCCCGTCCGTCCGTCCGTCCGTCCGCCCTCTCTCTCTCTCTCGCTCGTAAGCGTCGCCGGTCTCGAGCTGCTTTTCAACCTTCGCATGCATAGACCGACCGTATATACCTCTCTCTTCCCTCCCCTTCCCCCGTCTGATAATGTATTCGGTACGTGACTTCGTATTCGACAAATACAAGAGCACCACCGTGGTCCGGCGCGCACAGTCTCGCGATGTCGAACGCCTTTCGCGAGATTCGAAAGACGTGCGATGTATCGCGGAGGAGAAGACGCGAGACAATAAACGAATTGTGTTGTATAATATTTGATATTCTTTTTCCAAATGTATGTTTTTTTTATTTAGATATATTTAGATACAAGTTAAATAACAATTATACTCACAGAAAATTATCTAATTGCTAAACTATATAATAATAGGAATAATTTATATCTGATACAGGAATATATTGCATATAAACATATAAATCAAGAGAATTTAATATTACGTAAAAAGTGAACAAAGTATTGTAAATTTTTCCGCATTAGTCTGGCGTAGATAGATGTATGTGAGACGCAAACGCGTATAAGATGGCTCATCTAAATCGATACGGAACGCGATATAAAATCGATTCGGCACGAATTACTTTTGGCGGGGGTTGGAGAACTCGCGAGCGAACATAGAAGC